AATCACTGTGTCACGTTTGATCACGAACGTTTACTAGCAGTCCGTGTTGATTCACTTCATGTTAACAAGTTCTCTAAAGCAGCATATAAATGTTTTTGCAAAGCAGCTGATTTATTTATTGGGGATTGTCTCCCTCGAGCCTACAAACAGCTTTGTTAACACATTTGTGAGCCTCTTSGCTTCTGAGTCAGGGCCCCAAAGCAGCTCTCTTATCTGTGAATACTTGTRTATGAATATGATGTAATCATGCAGCTTGGGTGATTTTGCATACTTCCTGATGAAATCAGCTTTTTTATCAAAGTAAGGAAAGATAAGAATAAAAGAGGATGGAATTTCAATTTTTACTTGCTTTACTGACTGCTATTTTATAATTGAATTGCATTTTAAATTTGACATTGAAAAGRTTCAGATTGAGACACAAACACACTGATCCCCCCAAAGGGAAGTTTGTATATTAATGTCATTATAAATTTATAATTCAGATCTCTGATCTTRCTAAACACTTTTTACATCAGAAGCTCCTACTCTAAATCACAAGCCMTTTTCTCCATCAAAATAATGCCTGTAGCAGATCTGTAATGATTTTACATTACTGCAGTTTGTTCTCAGAAGCTCTGAAGTCTTCTTGTTTTTAAAAAAGGCATACAAATGCCAAGAATTGTGRCTGTAAAAACAATTAAAGCCAGAAATCTACTGAAGGCCAAGCTTAAATATAACACCYCTAACCTTTAAGGGTTTTCACATTATTTTTTAAGTGTAGGAATTCTAAAAGTCTAGCTGCAGTACAAAAGTAGCCTTTACCTCTGGAAATACTCCAGATTCTTGGGCAGGATGTGAATGAGAACCCATCAGCAATATTGAAATATGTCTCTTCCAGTATTAGAGCTTTTAGGCTTTCTTTCAAAATTATGCAGAAACATTCCATTGCTGTACTTAAATCTTGTACCAATTATTATAATAACTTGTAAAGTATTCATCTTCCACATGAGAATATAAACGGCAGAGAAATAGCAAGCATAGAGGTTGACTGTGGTAAATCTATGCCAAAAGAGAACCTGAACAGTTTGGAGGGTGCTGAACATACCTTATTTTGATGGAAATAGCTGCTGTTTTAATGCTGTCAGTCTGCTCTATTTAGAAAGTTAACCATTCAGCTCATAAATCGAGGGTGTTTTTTTATTTAGGAGAGTGATATAAAATCCTTTACCCACCATGAGGTCATTCTTTTTCGAGTCACCATCTGGYCCCAGGGAGGTTGTCTTTTACAGCACAGATAGTAGTACAAACAACAAAAGGAACCAGTAACTGAATGAGTAATTAGAGAAGTTTATATAATTTCTTTTTATATATTTTTGAAACTAGGATGGATAGCCAGGCTCTATTGATAGTGAGATGTCTGACTAGCTGTGTGGGTGGGGTTTTTTGTTTTTTTCTTTCCCCAAAAGACTTTTGCTTCATTATCGTCCAGTTTTGGCTCAAGATGATGATCATTTCCTGAGAACAGCTATTTCCTGCTTTCTGCAGTTCAAGGAGATAGAGAGCTTCACGAAAAGTGAGTTTATAATTGGCTATCAGTGATGTAATACACATGAAAGGCCAAATCTATAGTTGCTTGGCACCTGASTCTTCCATTGCATCAATACATTTCATGCCAGTACCCAGCCTCTTTGATTTCTTCATTTATAACTTCTGCTGATATTATATTGTACTTCAGGAGCACTAGCCTTTATATAAGGCAATATTTTATGCATTAATTAACTTAAAAATTAGAAGAAGTACTTAGAAATAATATTTTTAAGAACATAAGCAGAGAAAATGGAGGGATGCACAATAAACTTGGGTTATTTTTGTTCACATCAGTAGCATTTGTGGAACTCCTGTGTCTGGTACAGAATTTAAGGAAGGTGTATCTAAGTACAGACTCAGAAGTTGTTCTGCATTGATCATAACCAAGTAAATTTTGGCTCCAACAGTAGAATGATTTTTTTTTTTTTTTTGAGAAAGTAGGGGCTAAGGCAAGGTTTATTTTCCTGAATTTTGCTGAATGAGAGCGGGGCCAGAGCATTCTTTTAGAGCCAAGTCAAAATAGTTCCACTGAGTGATCATTATGCTGTTGTGCTTAAAATGAAGTTACAGCTRCTGTAACAAAATAAGAGAATAGAGTTTTCAACCCCCCTCTGCTGCTTGTTACTATTTCAACAGAGCATATTCTACTTCAGAGKGGAGTTTTGGAAATATGTAGGTCTGATTTCACACTTTTTATGAGAAAAAGATCTGTGAGTCTAGAAGTGTCCTGTCTGATTTTGAACTGCAGTCAGGCTTGTAAGTCTTTTTCCTCCAGTGTGCTGTGGGGGACGTGACTGCCTATTATCATGTGTTGTTTGCCTCGTCTTCAATTCAGTGTGCCTTTGAAGGTGTAAATGCTTGAGATATTCATTTGAAGTTGCAAATGTAGGGGATGGAATTTTAGATGATGGCTCTCAATATGTAAAGACACACATCTGTAAACTTTGCAGTACTATTTTCTCTGTAAAGCAGACAAGCTGCTAAGCAGATATGCTCATACTAAATATAGTGTGTTGTTCTACCGCTSCCAGGATTTTCCGCTCAAGAAGATTTCTATCAGAGGCCAAGAGTGTCAGAAATCATCAGCCCAAAAAGTCATTTCTGGTCCCTGCATGCCCCTGTTGTAGTTTGGCAGACCAATACAACCCAGTGCAATTTGGTTTCCAATTTTTCAGAATCTGTATTCATGAAGAACTTCTCACATGACGCACATGACTAGGTACAAATCAATCTATAACCAAAAATGGTTACATTTACATGTTTAAAAGACAAATACATTTGTTCTACAAACTATGATTCCACTGCAGCAAAGGTTTGAAAATACCTCACATACTTAATTTAACTGTGGAAATATTTTTAAGTTCTGAGAGTATCTATGTGCTTAAACTTACAAGTTCTTACMTTCGTTCCCTTTAAGCTGCCATAATGGTAAGAACAACATCACCTCTGATAGTTGTCAGCATTAAAATTAAGCTATTTGTAACGTTCAGGCATCTGCTGAGATTTCAGGCGAAAGGTCTTTTTATCCTGTAGTAAAATAATAAAACTAACAATTACAGCATCATCATTCTTTAAAGTAACATTTAAAAAAATAAAACTTTGAAAATCTTATTAGCAAGAACTCTTTATCTCAACAAAAACACAGTTTACAGGTCTCCAGTTCCTAACCTCAGGATGCTTTCAGATTCTAGGCTTATTCAATGTGCAATGTGTCAAGCAAAAGCTTTTCTTTTAATGTTTCATCATGCTTTTTTTAAGTAGAGCAAATAATTTCTGTCAATATAATATGAACTCTTTCCAGCTGATCATTGCCTGKATAGCTCTTCAGATTTCTAGAATTTGTCTTAAAAACCATGCAAGGTAAAAACTATGTAAATCCAAAAAGAATGGAGTCTCCTTAATTTGAGAGAGCCTAAAATAACTTGCGCAGTATGATCGGTCTAATCTGTGCTTCAGTTATTAAACGAAGAAATACTTTTTAAGGAGACTATTTGCAGCCCAGCAGCACCTGCTAAYGACATGCTGGGGCTGAGTTAGTATTGAAAAGATAAACAATCTATAAACCTATAAATTACCTCCTTTCCTAATAGCTAGGCTTTCTGCCCCAGGACAGAACAGCTGGACCTGGTCCTGCTTTCCTTGTGACCTCCCTTTTTAACTGTTGTCTTAGACACAGTGATTCGTGTAAGAATAAACAAAACAACTCAATGGAGTATAGAATACACTTTCCTCCTCTTCATCAGAGGAGGAAAATGTAGATGTATTCATTGCCACTAGCAGCAATTTCCTGCACTGTTAAGTTGCACTCCAAGGGAGTAACATGGAACATGCTCATTAGTATCAGCAAAACCTGAACATTCCCATCACCCAGTTGTCTCAAAGATTCCTCTGTTTTGGGCCACAATGTGCTCGTCCATTTCATTCTCATTTCTCMTTTCTTGCTCTCTGTTTTTATATTTCTGCTGCTTCCTTTTATTTGCCTCCCTTGCCTAGAGTTTCCCTGCCTCTCCCTTCCTGTCCCTCCCCTGCTCTCAGCTTCTTTCTGGCAAATTCAGCTTGCTTTACTTGCTTTATGTGGTGCAGTCTCTCTGGAGCCTTCCTGCAAATCCAAAATTAGATCTCGTTCCTACTTCCTTAGACTGTTCCACAGAACAGGGACCAATAGTGACCTTAGGAGAGAGCTGCTTCTCAAAGCATGGGAGCCATCAATTACTCTAGAACCAACACTTGTGTTTCCTATAGTACTCTTCTTGCCCACGTTTCTGCAAGACAGTACCTGCTCTAACATTTGCCTTTGGTTTCAGCTGCAGCATTTTTGGGTCACTGACAAACTGTAATAGCAACAGTCAATGGGGAAAATTACATACTGTGGTCAGGTCAGTTAAGACTTGTTGGTGCACTTGGGTCCTGACAACTATAAGGATAGATATTGTTTGTGCTACTCTAAAAAGCATTATGAAGCACCAGAAAAGCTTTCACTTGACAATAATACTGCAACTGGACAAGACTAGATTCTTCGTGAAGTATCCTACAGTTAAGAACTGGGACTTGAACATTGTGCTTTTGTTGAAATGAAAAGAGTTCTTGTGGCAGGTTTTCAAAGGGTTTTGCATCCAAAACCCATGAGGCTTTATTATTTGTTTGTGCTATGATTTTAGTATGATCTGGAGTCTGAAATCTGAGCAGATGTTGGAGTACCACATTTGAAAAATGTAACAGTTGAAAATATTTGAAAAATGTCACATTAAACATTATAATATTTATGTAACATTAAACATTGGCCATTATAGCAAATAGAAAAATGTAAAAATGAATGTTTGGAGGAAAAAATAGATGTTAAAATATTGGTTCTGGCCATGGTAACTGGAAATATAAATATCTGTTTGGTCTGCCTAGTTTCCGCTAGCATATGCATTGTCAATCCCGTTCTTTAATTTTTTTTTTTTTAGTTTTAAATTTAGTTCATGTTGAAAATATGGGAAGTGTAGGTAGCAGTGAGATCTCTTCAAGGAATTGATAATTATTTTCAGCCTTCATCCTAGAGGTACACTAACTTTCTGTAGTCTTATCAACAATTTGAACTGAGAAAGAAACTGTTGTGATGAGCCTTCTTTCCTAGAAAGCTTAAATTAAATTCAGTTGGAGAATAAGTTAAATTTCTTTGACCATTCAAACTTACTATCTTGTATTCTTAAAATGGTGAAAATAGATTCCACTACTCATGCTATCCCTTCCCTGTACTCCCTCTTCTAGAACGTGAAAAAACCAATTACAGTCCTAATTCTCAATAAAGATGTAGCTGACATCGTAGAACTTTTGAAAGTCACAATTCGTCTTTCTTCTTCAGGATGATTTTCCTCACAAGTTCTGTAACATAAGGTCTTATTTCTTCAACAGAGACTGTAGAGTCCCAGGCCTTGACTACTTTCCCGTTAGGATCCACCAAGTATTTCCAGAAGTTCCAGGTTGGTTCTTCTCCCGTGGAATCTATGGGAGGAAAAACAAACTTAGAAAAGAAAGCTGTGTTAGCCAATTCCTGACACTTGCTCATGTCAATTTGATGATTACTCTCTGAGAGGAGGAAGGACTATAAATCAAGAGAGTGTTCAGAATTAATATTAAGATGAATTTTCTGACAGGGAGATTTAGCTAGACAGGAGTCCCCTGGAGACTAGTGAAACACAGTCAACTCCTCACAGGCAGACAGAAGTATTATACTAGAGGTGTGTGTATGTATGCATATGTGTACTATATCTATAGTATGAAATAGTTGTACACTGACAGAGATCTAGAATATAGGGTAAAAAATAGCTGTACCAGAACTGATTAATAGTTTGTTTACCCAGGATTTTGTCTCCAAAAGTACCCAGTATCACATGTTTAAGAGTAATGTTTCCAGAAAAGCTATGCAAAAATATTAATATAAATTGCTCCAGAAAAAATTACCTGCCATTGTTTTTACTCTGAATATTCGTTTATCATTCCATTACATTACTAGCAATTTATCATTCTATTGCATTACTAGCAATATTTTCAGGAAAGCATCTTCAATGTGATCAAGAGTTTTATCCTGCTAATGGTGCAAGTACAGACCCTACAAAATAGCATCTTTTGCCATTGATCATACACTGGGCAAAATTTCACATGAAATCAGAGATATCACCAAAGTACAGCAAAATATTCAGTATTGACAGTGTTGTCAGTGTGTTGCATGCAGCAGTCTCCTCTTGCAGATGGTCTAAGAGGGAAACACAAGGTTTGCAATTTTCATGTGACTTGCCAGCACTAACAAGCCCACTGGAAGGACATGTTGAGGTCCCACTGCAGAAACCAGCAGGAGTGTTTGGGGTAGCCAAAAATAACACTAGCAACATTCCCTGTAAAGTCAGTGGCATATGGGCGAACACTGTGGTATAAGGAGGAAGAGAAGGTGGCGTGGTCCTTGCACAATACAGCTTAGATGGTATCATGTCACGTTGGGTTTATGATGCATCATTCCCAGAGGTAATTTCCTTCAACAGTGGATAAAGGCTGTCATTTCAGTTTAGCATTTAAATGCTTTTTTTTTTGAGGATTCAGTCAGTTTGTGAAAAATCGTATCTTGATAGACAATATTCTGATGTACAGTATATTTTGTTAGCTGTCTGCTGAGGGTGAGCAAGACCTCTGTGGGTGTCAGGCTCTGCTAGTCCTAATGCAGATTAGGAGTGGATGAACTTTATGGTATGGCTATTCCAATGCTTAGCAAGGAATGAGGGAAGGAGGATTCAAAGTCATCTCTTTCTACCTCCTTTACTTTTTGACTGTTCAAGTAAATTATGTAGGCACTTTGCTTCCGTTTATCCTACAGCTCTTGAGATGAGTCTTACAAATCCAGCCYGTAGTGGTTGCATCACAGGAGGAACACATGGGAGGAAAGATTGCGAAGTGCGAAAATGAATAAGATCTTTTTTTAATGCCTACAGGCAGATATTTCTAGACATGTTTTCCATGTAAGTGTTTATTAAAGTAGTTTTTACTGGGCACTGTTTGTTGGGGGTCTTCATACTGGCAATCTTTTCAAAATGTTAGGCAAATATTTCAAGAGAGGCAGAAATCCTGCCTTGTGCGGAAATGAGGTGACTTCTGACCTCTTTGACCCCGTCAATTCTGTGCCATGATTCTGTGAGAACAAACATAAATACTGTTTTTAATTGCATAGTATATCGTGTCAGAGAAATTCAGTTTTGGGGAACCAGCCTGCCAATATCCCTGATACTCACCAATTAAGTACTTGAAGGCAGGAATTGCACCGGCACCGCTGACGGTAGTTTTGCTGAACATAGGAAAGGAGGCACCATAATTCTTCCGTGCAAAACTCTCTATCTCTTTGTTACTGTCAGGTTCTTGCTGCCCAAACTGATTGCATGGGAATGCCAGCACATTGAAATGATACGGGCCRAGGTCCCTCTGCAGCTGCTGTAGGGCCTTGTAGTGGCTGTCAGTATATCCACACTCACTTGCAACATTGACAACTAGAGATACCTATAAAACAAGAGACACCTATGAGAATGTGCTGCACCTTGCAGTTTTCCAACAGGTAGGCTTGGATATTATTCTCAAAAAAACAGGAATCTCTAGAGAAATGTGACTGAACACTCATATGTAAAACTGTATAGAGTTCTATTCACTATAAGCAGATTTATAATAATAATAATGTATTCCCATATGGCAACTATGAATATAATACCAAATGCCTTAGCAGTTTTATCTCTCAGGTTAGAGAGAAACTGGATTTTGTCTGCTCTGCCTTTTAGATATTCTGTAAGGATATTTAAGAAATGACCATACAGATGAGGTATAAGGAATAGTTTATCACAGCCCTGGAAATTAATGTATTTTTGGTTATTGTTATCTGTTCTTCAGGATGTTCTTTCTTACAGAATTTAGCACTGATACAGACCTGTCTGGTGCATTTATCATTGTCTGTGTGGATGCCTAAATCTGAAAGCAATTACAGGATTTTATGTCTCTGTGCAGTAGAGCCTGTAAAATTTCCACCCGATTTCTAGAGTAAGCTCAGGAAGACCTGACAAAAGAGGAACGTATTTTGCATAAAGTTTTACTGCTTTAATTGGATGTTCACAGTAAGGGAGAATGTGCACCCTATTCTTTAAAGAGTTACTCCTCCTATAGCTGGTCCTCTTTGTTGTTTTTGGACTTCCTGTACTTTTTTATCATTCTTAGCATTTTAATACGTGTGAGCACAACTCATTCTACGGAAAGAGAGCTTTTTCTAGCATTTTTTATGGAAATGGATTAAGGCTGAATATTGTAGATCTCTATTATGATAGCATTATGCCCTTTATAGTGATAAGTTTTTACATAAAACAACATTCCATTACTTGTGTAGAACTAATCTTTAAGAGTTACCAATCACAGGGTTTCTACAGATTATAAATCCCCACAAAACCTGGCCCTTCATCTCAGAATGCAAATAAAAAGATAGTGTAGTTGAAGCAGCCAACACATTTCCCAGTACTAGTGCAGTAATGGACTCTAGGTCTGGTACTTGYGTTTGTGACTACTGGCCTTACTCCGTTTGCACTTTGGATTCTAATTTTGCTATTTTTCTATATTCCTATGTGTATGTTTTTATACAAAATACAAAACTGTAGGAAACATTAATAGAGTACATAAAAATAAATGATAACGTATCAAAAAAATAAGTGATTACATATGATAAGTACTATTAAGGCCAGAGAACAATAATTTATTGGCATATAAAATTTCATAGTCTGGGTATGGTGTGGGACAGCAGGATGAAATCTCTAGAATGGTAGGAAGAAATAAAGTTAGGGGGATAAACACCAGGGGATACTGGTGTTTATCATTTCTTATGTTAAATATTAAGATTTACTTTGCGTATTTTGCATGTTGTATGGGTATGTGACTATTATTTAAAGTAGTTTCTGAGCAGCACTGTTTGTTTTCCCTAGAGGACAAATAATTTTATAAATGGAGAAGTTGATGGGATCTTCTTTGTGGTATATTGTGTCAACAGAATATAATCTAAGAAATCCTTGCACACTTGCACATGAAATATGATCTGGAGCCATCTAGCTAACTTCCAAAGCATCACATTTATTCAGMCTATATTTACAAGCTCTATGTGAAATTTTAAACCATCTCCTAAAACATCCAAAGATTTGCCTTATAATTAGAAAAAAAAATTCAGATAAGAAGTGGTAAGTAATTCCTGTTTCAGATGTCATCATTTCAAATAAAGCTTGTATATTAGACACAAAAAATAACCATTGGTTGTTTTGTTCTCTTCAGATAATCTGTGTTTTCCAAGTTTTAGTACAGAATGGTTGAAAATAAATGTAATACAGAGATTTGAAGACACGTGTAATTCTTTTTGCTWAAAATCTTGACTGTTTTTAAAATATAGCTTAAAGCTAAGCATTCTCATGATGCAGAAGTGTTCATATACTTCAGTGTATTCACAACTACTGCTACTTTATTCCAAATAGAGTACTTAATTTAAGAATTAGAGGCTTATGGGAAATAAGGTTGTGGAGGTACTGTGTTCATATTATAACAATTAAAAGTAATTATCATAAACATGAGGTGCAAATGAAATCAAGCCTTTATAATTTTTACTCATTTTGAATTGAGCAGGGCTTGAAAGGATTCACTCAAGAGATGCCTGTTTTTTACAGCTGTTTAACACCAGTGATTACTCTGAATGGAGATGAAAGGTATGAGAGCTCACATTGCAAATAGTGCAAACATCCAAACAGTCTCCTAAAGGAAACTGTGCACACCTTTTTCTTTTTTTTTTTTTTGGAAAAGCAGGTGCATCATGCTTCTCTTCTTTATTTTTTAAATAGAAAAAAAAATGCATTTTATTATAGAGTTCCTTAATTTAATATTGAAGACATCCTAAAAGTGTAAATAACATATAAATATTTTTTTCAGGATTTAGAAGTATTTTGTAAGCAAATACTTATAAATGGAATATTTAAAGGAATGTTTAAAATCAATGTTTAAAAATCTTTTAGTCATCTTAAAGTGTTTCTGTAGATTATCACAAATGATGAAAGGAGGTGATTTGAATTTTTGTTGTTTATATTTTATCCTTTATAAATAAAAATCATTCTTTTAGTTCTCATAAAGAGGCTGTACTTGACATTTCTGAATGATTGATCCTTTAAACTCTATACTCCACTTGACTGACTTCTCTCTCACCTTGTGCTCTGAGAGTACCAGTCAAGTACACCACCTAGTGTGCAGTGCAAACAACTCATCCAGGTTCTTTCCAAAAATGATTTCATTAAAGCCAGACTGTGTTTTATCCATTGTTTGGCCTTTTAATGCTATGTTTTCCTTCTCACTTCTTAGGGGAAAAAAAGTGCATTCTAATAGGGAAGTCATTTTTACACTGCAAAAATGGTTGTTGGTTTGCTTCATATTTACACAGGGTAAAGTTTACCTTTCCCTGAGGAAAAGCTCCTTAGGGAAATTTATGAATCTATCATGCTCAAGTAATGCTTCACAGATGTTTTGGCATGGATGGTAGGTACTTAGGTTTTTAGACCTGAAGATTTTAAATGGTTCCATGGAACTGTTGGTAGGACCATCTAGAGGGTCAGATTACACCAACTCAGAGAACTCTGCCCTCATGGAGAAAAAATAGCAGTACAAGTAGCATAGTAATTAAGTATCTCTACTCTGTGTTTATCCACATTCAGTAATACTACATTCTTGAACTATAAAGAGTCATGATACAAAGGGTCTAGAATTACTTCCATCAGTAAAATAAGACTTAATATTATTATAGTACCGTTTGGTAAAGGGTTTCCAAAGCGCTGTGTTAATGCTGCTTCATTAAGCCTCAGCCCACTGTACTTAGCTCAGTGGTAGGTAGGTAGGTTAAGTAAGTACTGTTATATCCGGACAGGTATAAACACAGCAGGGAGCAGCTGAAGCTTGGGAATGCTGACTTGCAAACAGATAGTATTTTTGGTAGGAATTCTACCTCTTACTTAGAGCATATCCTCCAGAGACCATAAAATGAAATATAAACTTTCTTGATATAGATAGCTATTCCGATACACCTCACCTTATTGGCTTCCTGACAATTTTTTCTCCTACTATGCATMGCCACCCCTGATATTTAATGCAGATGGATCAACAGCATCAGTGGGGTAGCCTAGATAAAATGGTCTGATCATCTCTTGGGACAGAATAAACCAGATGGCTTTTTGAGCTGGTTCGCTCATGGCACCTTTTTTGTCCATCATAGTAGTCCTTAGATTTGATATACCTAGTTTTGTTGAATGCAGGCCAAATTTGTAGCATTCTGGCAATATTTCTAATGTCCTTATAAAAAACAGAGCTCTCCCTCACCTTTTTTGATTTTTTTTATTGGAGGATACTTTATATTTGTACATATTTCCTTTCAGCCAAAAAAAAAAAAAAAAATCACCCAAATCAGATCCTTAGCTTTCTCATTTTTACTATTTCGGAGTTGTAAGTAGTACATTTCTTTCTTACTGTATAATTGACAGTACTTGTGGTTTGCATCAAATTGCACTTGAATGGAAATTGAATTAATTTGCCTAATTTTAAATAATCTCAGTGATCTGAATATAAAACATTTTATGTTAATAATGAGTTATTGAAGAAAAAACTGCAAGTAATGAATTGCACTRATTCTGCTCAGTTTGGCTCTTGTGTTTTTAGAATTAGCAGACTTTATTCTTTTTCTGTATACTGGCAACTTGCTGACTTTTTCAATTTCCAGGTAGTTTCTTGACTRCAGATTGCATTAATTATTGCATATTTAATTGTGTAATTAGCTGAGTGACTGAATTTAAGAAAATGTTTTCTCTATCTGCCAGAAAGCTTAAGGCTGTTAAGATGTGGTTTAGCAATTAGCAGACTATTGTTCCAGGCGTTGACTAGTGACTCACTCTAGCAGCACACAGGCACTGCTATTTGCTTTAATTATCTAAAAATATTATGGTAGACTTAAACCTTGACATTGGTTATCTAACTTCAAATAGGTGGGTTTATTTTAAGAAGTAAATGGATACTTTAATTGATCTGTCTCCACCTTGCTAATGAACTCTAACAACATAATGACCTAAAAGGGTCATTTTGTTGGTATAATCTAATTTTAAATCATGCATATGCATCCTCAAAACATAGTTGAACTGAGCATGGATGGTCTCTTCAAATAAATGAACAGCTTGGATAGAAGCTGGTCATCATTTTTTGAAATAAAAAATTCCAAGACTTCCCACAAAGTACCTGTGATCCTAGAAAAAAAAAAAAAACTTGCATCTCTTTACGGATGAGTCACCCCCAAGATGGGGGGTATGCCAGGACAGATGGAAGGAATTCCATAAGGGAAACCTCAGAGTTCCCCCTTTAGTCCTTGCCATGCCAATTCTGGCCCTGAGTTAGAAAAGTKAGAGGTGATATTTGCTTATTTAGAAAGATTTGCGGGTGACCTGCAGAAAAAGCATGCCTCAGCAACAGGATTTATTGACAGAGCCTTTGGAAAGAACTCYGAAATAAAAAAGTAAATATTGCTTAATATTAAATAGTTTCCCTCATTTCTCAAAACAGATATCGAAGTGTGCACTGCATCAGTTCCCTTCTGCTCTGTTCTCTGGCTGTACTGTGAACAGAGGCGGAGGAGGACACGTACCAGGTGAGATCTGGGCTTCTCATTTGGTCCAAATCCACCAGTATCCCCCTCTCAAAAGCTCAGAAAAAAATTACATCTCCTGTGGGCCTTYGGTTTCTCCCTGCAAATGTTATGATCACCCACCACTTTGGATTAGTGAGCATCATCACCTCAGTAAAGTACCCAAAAGGGATGAAAAGGAAAAGTGGAAGCACAGAGCTGTGGCTATGGGTGAAAGTGAGGAGTGGAGACTTCCTTTTCGGGAAGCTGCTGGCCTGACCTGGCCATCTAGCATATCAGATGTGTCACTTGAGCATTGAAGATGGAGGTGGTGGCAGTTACACTTTGATTTTAGACTCTGTAATCTGTGAATCTGGCTGCAAGAGCTGCAGACACCATGCCCTCCTGCCTGTGCTAATCTGTCTTCGTTCTCTCCCTGGTACTAACCATTTTTCTCAGATGCTCAAAATGATTAAAAAATCAAGCTATATTCAAGACAATTGCTCTCAAACTGGACAGGAAAGTGCATCTACCATGCCTTAATTTAATATGTAAGTAGAATTTAAAAGTTAAAAAGCATATGTAGTGTCTTACCTTTCCTTTTTCCTAAGTTCTTTGTCATGCTAGAAWTTACTCTAAGTGGGATAGCATGGTGTTTCTACAATTTCACTGTACACTGGTATTGAAAAAGTACTATCAATTCCCTCACTTATATACTAATTATAATGAAAACTCTTAAGCCTGTTAACCACTGATTAAATCCCATCTTTTTTGAAACCAAACTTCAAAAAGAAACGGGATTTAGGTAGAAGGAATTTACTAAAAGTCATGCAGTTAAAAAGCGGAAATAAGTCCCAAAAATAAATTGTACAAAGGTACAAATTTCCTGTTTAACAGCCACAATCAAGYGCAATTCATGCGGCTGAATGGAAGGCAGACATTCCCTGCTTGCCACGTATGCAGGGAGCAGCYCGCGCAAGGAAGAGACTCCGCACAGAGAGGTTAGTCTGTGAATGTTTTATTTAAAGAGCAAGGATCTGCGGAATGGTATTGAAGGAGGCATGCAGGCAACGCTCCAGATCAGTTAAAGAAGTCATAAAAACAAATCTATTTGCATGCATGCATCATGTTAATGTACAATCTCTCCACCCCCCCGCTTGCTTTTTGCAGACATGCAAGGACTGGCCGATTAGTGAGGTCAGTGTGAGAGCTGCCCATCTCCGTGCACACTTACCGAGCCCCTGTACTTCTCCAGAGAGACTAGCTTGCCCCTGATGTTTACAACTTTGAAAGTGTAAAAATCAGTCTCTCTCTGCAGAGTGGCAGAAAAGGCTAAGAGCAGGAGTGCTGCTATTGCGAGGAGCATGGCTAGAGGGATGAGGAAAACTTTGGGGAAGGAAGAGGCAGCCTTGTGCTCCACACTGCCCTCAGGATCTAGCATGCTGCAAGACAGCRCTGCACAGACACTTGCCACAATAGTCAAGCGCTGCCGCAAAGAAAGGACTGCTGCAAACGGACCCTTTTGCAACAGTCTGTGTTCTGCAAGGATTATTAAATCCTGTGTTTGTGMAAGGCCCCAGAAAGCTGCATTTGTGAAGGATTCAAACTCTTCTCCAGGGATGTATTTCATTGTAGCACTGGCGTACCAGAAAAGGACATTTATGGATACGACACACAAATTGAAGGGCTTGTTCTTTCAGCTCAAGAGCAGCACTAGTGTATAGGGCTTTGTGGGATGCCAGTCTTAGGGAGCGGCTCTGACCATGTCCTGGGAAAATATGGCATAGAGTTATTGTGATTTTAACCAATTTGCAAGTTGATATTTTTAATATGCATATGGTAACTGTGATGTAATGTTAAAGGATACCAGTGGCTTGGTTGCTAGTGGTTACTGATTCAGGTGCTCTGCACAAGAGTCAGAGCGAATAGCTGGCAAACACTGAGCGTTATAGACAGAATCACACAAAAAGGAGCTCCCAGGCTTTCAGGAACGTCCCCTGTGTGGGCACTGGGCTCGAGACAAGTGTCTGGCTGGGCCACATGGATCTTGATGGAGTCCATAAGGGAGAAAGAAGCATTAAAATATTGGGACTGAATTTGGTACGAAAGCTTGCAGAAATACAGAGCCAAGACAGCTGCCTGGGGATCAGTGTTGTGAGGCTGTCTGTGAGTTGTTGGCAAAAGAAATAACCATTTGTGCCATTTGCTACTAAGCCTGCTGGAAGAGAGGGGATTTGTATTATATAAAGCAATGTGAGGAAGTGTTTGATGGTCATTGATTTCTTCTTGGACTGAAAAAAAAAAAAAAAGGTTGTCTGTGCCTGTTATTGTGCTATTTCTTGGTATAGAAAATATAAAAGGTAATGATTTACAGAAAACAATGAAGTACTGCACACAAAGCTTACCAGAAATTTATCTTTTGAATAACAAATTACATTTGTTAATGTAATGGGGTTTGTTTGTTTTTGTTGTTCTTTGTTGTTGTTGTTAATTAGTTGAAACAAATTAGTTGAAAAAAGTTCAAACAATTAGTTGAAAGACTTAATATTTTTTAAACATTAAAGATTTTTCAGGTTTTCATGTATTTTAGGTCAAGCAGATATCTAACATAAAGAAGTCTTGCAAAATTTTATATGGGCAAAAAATCTTCTACCATGCTGTCTCTGTGAAAGACACACTGTGCTAAAAATCTGATGTTTTGATCTGATATGCACAGATAAGTGCTTTTTTTTGTACGCTTTTCGGACTTTACTATTGATTGAGAACATTTCCTTTAAAGGAGAGCCAAGTATGATTTTCCCATTTTATAAATAAATTAAGAAGTTCCATAGAGACATAGCTAGACACAGAGAATAGGGCTTTAAAACAGCATGGACATTTTAATAAATAAATGAAAAACAGCTAATTCTAGGAATGTTATTGCAGCTTGGTGAAAATAATTAATCAGAAACCTTTTTTAAAAAGAAATTGGCTAGCAAAATTTTAAAAATATGCAATAAACTTCTGATTTTCTACAATCCTGTAGGCATAATAATGTAGCAGATTGGGAATGGGACTGCAGATGAGGAATTAAAACTGTCCTAGGAAATGAGCAGGATTTTGCTTTGCAAAGTGAATTTACAAACCCCCACCTCTTGCACCTCCAAGTTAATTGTTGTTGATTTCTAGATAAAGTTATTTTTCAAAATCACATTTTCTCCTCCAAACTCAGCTTGGAATCTGAGTGTTTTTTTTAGCTCACTGACCCCGAATTAGAAATTCTTTAAATAAGGTCAGCTTATGATAGGATTTAGCCCTCTGCTTTAGAGCCCCGTTTGGATGCTACTACCCCCTGGAATGAAGCATTTTCTAATGCTAGCCAAGAAGGCAGAATTGCCCAGAGAGAGAGGCAAAGTTGAGCACCGCGAGCTCTGCAGAGACTGGGGTGTTCGGAGCCGGGTGAGCTGCTCTCTTYACGTTACTCTCCGCACTCCTTGCTGGAAGGAGCCTGTTGGATCAGGCTGGAGGAAGGAAGCCACTCGATTCCTGTCAGTCTCAGCCTGTGGGGTGAGCTCGCTGCCAATATCCGGGGTGTCCTGGTGCTCCCTGTTTAATTTAACCGGGAGCTCGGAGCRCTTGGCACGGACACAGGTTGGTGCTGGGGATGGCACACGGCTTCACAGCCCGTTTTTTGCCCTCATCTGTAAAATCCCGTAATAAAAATTGTGTCGCTTGTTTAAGCCACACTGGGGGCAGCCTTTGCAGCCCAGGCATTCCCCTTATCACCAGTAACTCCGCTAAATCCTTTTGGCAGTTCCACGTTCATCTTTTATGTCTATTACTCATTTGTATGTCTTTATTTTGTATTTATTCTTTCTCCAGAGTGTCCCCCCCATCCCCCAAGGCGTGCCGAGGACGGGACGTCTCGGCGCTCGGCCTCCCGCCGGCGCGAGCCCTTTCCCCGCGGCCACCCCGCTCCGCACGGCGGGCTCGGGGCGGGGGGTCCCGACCGCGCGGCGCCGCCGCCGCCATCCCAGGGCCTCGGCGCTGAGCGCGGCCCGAGCCGCCCCCCGCCGCTGTCCTCCCCCTTCCCACAATGCAACGGCGCGGCTGACATGGCGGCCGGGCCGGAGTGAGGCGCTGGCGTCGGGGCCTCCAGCAGCCGGAGCCGGGCATGGCGGGGCCGCAGCCCCGGCACCCCTAGGGCGGCAGCCAGGTACCGAGCCGGGGGGGGGCCCTCAGGGTACGTGGCGGGGGGAGCCGGCGGAGGGGGCCGCACCGGGACCCCCGCACCCCCGGAGCCTCCTGCGTTGTCCTGTTGTGCGCCTGTCCCYCTGGATGCGCCGGGCTGGCCCAGGCCGGGTTGCTCGGGGAGGCCTTTGTGGCAGCCAGGAGGGCCCGAGCAGGAGCCCCCGCCGCCCTCTCCCCAGGACCGAGCTAAAAACTTGCTKCTCTTTTCGACCCCCCCATCGCCCGGGTGCCCCCGGGCCTGGGGAGCCGCTTGGGCAAAGGGTCCGTGCTCCTTTCCGACTCCCCTTGACTTCCTCTGACCCAGGCTCCGTAGGCGCTTTTTGATGCTTTGACCCCGGAGAGCGGTGACATAATTAATTTCATGATGGGAGAAGTCACCCAGCTGCAGAAGTGTCACTTAATTTCGGTGTCTGACAGGAGGAGCTCTGTTGGGAGAGGGAGGGCTCCTTTCCAGACATCAGTTGTGCAGCGCACCGGGTCTTTTGTTGTTGTTGTTGTTGTGTCGCGCCTCAGAGAAGACCCCTACGTAAGAATAATTTGGGAATGAAATTACAGCTTCCTGGAGCGTAAGTATTGTATGTTCCCTAAATATATGTAGAGAGGGGTGAGAAAATGCCCGCTGTCCTTGCTCGTCAAACAGCTGGGGCTTTTCCCTCATCCCTCATAGCGCAGCAAGGGGAAGTGCTGGATGCCAGGGCACCTGCGCGGCACCCAGGCGTYTACCTGGCCCTTCCTTCAAAGGCAGCTGGTGGCGAGGGGGAGCAGGAGGAGGAGCAGGATTTCCCTGCATCCTCGTCCAAGACAAGATCCCTGGGGAGCTGCTCTTGTGCATCTGCCCGTCAGAATAATAGTTTGGGATTGGGAATTCGTCCTATTGCCATTAAGCTGAGCAAAACTTTGCCCTGCTTGACAGTATATCCTGTTTTCTAGATGTAACCATTGCTTTGGAAATTTTGGAAAGCATATTGACTAAGTTAGCTTTCAGTAAGAGGAGGGCAATAATAAAAGAATTAATTTAGTGCTACTACTATCTTCTACTGAGATTGGATTTATTGCTGTCATTTGCAGAATGAAAACTGTATGTGCAAAGTCAATATTTCTGGTACTTTTGGCACGTTTTCAAGCTATGYAATATTATCATAAATTAATTGTAGATAAGTGATAGATCAGTAACTCTTTAAACTTAGAGGTACTAAAATAAAACTTATTGTCTAAATTTAGTAACAGTTCATATRATTTTCTTTTTTACTTGTTTTGCTTGGAGATGCAACCATAGCTGTACATGTACCTTTACTGTTAGAGGTTTTGGTTCTGATRTTTTATCAAATCTTTGGAAAATAATTTAACAAGTGTCATTGTATGATTTTTTTTTAAATTTATGTTGCTGGATTAAAAAAAAAAAAACAAGAAACATTGCCAGCAATAAGTAACTTTCAGATTTTTTTTTGATGACAACAGAGCTTGACTTAGGAGTCTAGTATTGGTTTTATTTTACAAACTGCTGTGACTCAGTCTGTGAGCCAACTGAGCAAGAACATGTTCTTGACAACTTTTCTGAAGGATTTTTTTTTTAGTTAGTGACAATTCTGGGCTTAAAGATGTTAGCAATGCATCCTTTGGTTTTAATTGTAGYTTGTGAACTAATTTGCAACTGGTCTAAAGCACTTCAGGGGCCTCCTTCCTCAAAGATCAGAGTTGAGTTGGCAGGACCACTGTTGCTTAAATAAAATCATAGTCTGGGCAAAATTCTGTGCCAAAGATACGTTCTGCTGTATTTTTATTTAGAACAACCACCAAGTATTAATAGTGGCTTAAGAACAAAATGGATAAATTGAGTTTGAATCCATTTCTGCAGTTGAAGCTAGCTTCACAGTCAGCTCAGGCCTCTGGAAGCCAATATTGACCCTGAAAGGCTTTGGATGCACACAACTCAGGACAGTTTTTTTTTTTTTTTTTYCCCTCCAGCTTCCTTGCCTGTGTACAAAAGCCGTATTTGTTTTTAAAGTTGAAGCTAAATTGGACCAGTTTCCTGATTGGGTTACAGCACGTACCTTCCAGCATAAGGCAGTGCATGGGACAGGTGGTATCCTCTTTTGGCTTCAGTGCTTGCTGAAGTTGGTTATAAAATTGTAGTGTTTTCAAATGTTTGGAGGATCATTACAGTAAATTTTAGGATCAGAACCGAAATGAACGAAAACATTAAGGGCCCTG